CTTCTGTGACATGAGTTTGAAAACGACTTGTGAAATTTTCTGCAGTCTAAAGTTTCATGTTGTCTGCACATGTACTTTCTTTGGAAACACCATTTGTTTTGTCAAAATGATCAAGATAGTTACTCTGATTGATTCACATATTGTAGTTGACAAATGACTGTTGACAATGCTTTTCAGTCAACAATATTTCAGTGAGTCATGTTTTGGAAATGACAATAAATTTTTATTACCCAACCCTTGAGTTGTTTTGTTTTTCATTTACCCAACCTTTTACTTACTCACAATTTTGTTTACCCAACCCTTTTCTCTTCGGTGCCACCCCCCACCATAAATAATGACTGGTCCCTTAGTACCATCCGGTCCAATCATGTTTCATGCCAAGACATCTCAGACACATGATAAACCAACTAAATTACGGTTTAGAATACCTTGGGCTTGGAAAGGTCATGTGGTACCAACAAAAAGTAAGTACGCAGATAGCAAGAGTTGCGCTTACCTACCAAGAGCCTGGGAACGAGGTTGCTTACCTACGTGGTATTTGGCTAAAACAAAGAAGTACCAGACCACAATATTTGAATTTTTATGGATTTGAAGAAATCTTTGTCGATCTAATGAGTAATGCAGTTCAAAACAAACGATCGATCACCGAATGGAAACAAATTACAAACATCATCAACGAGCAGATCGTGGTAGATGTCCGTAAGTCCATACACGCGTCTCCCCACCGACTTCAAAGATACTTCACAGTGACTTCAAAGTTTTCCAATACGGAAAGAACACAAGGGGAGATGGATGCTCTCTCGCCGTTCCACACATAAAAACTGAAGCAGGAAGAAGGAGACTTTCAAGGAAGCGGACGTTGTTTAACGGGCTTCCTAAAGACTTGAAGGCTGAAAAATCCGTTGTCTTTTTCAAACAGAAACTAAAGGTTATATATAAATCATTTTAACGATTCGACACAAACTCAACTTGACATTTTTAGAGAAGTTTTATTGTACTATATTTTATAGTGCTGATATTCCCCTATGTCCGTGGTTTAACTCATAACCGTATTTTCCTACTTCCGGGAATATCACTGGTCAGTACTGCTGCTACATCTAGCAGTGGCAGACACTTGTACATGTATCAAAATGTACATGTATGCCAAATTAAGGGGTTTCGGTGTACGTTTCCTAAACAATGCTCATGATGAATTGTGATTTTTGGTACCAGACTTTTACAGATCTTCGACACCTCCCAGTGTCCGCAACTGGTATCTAGTACTCCTTTGTTGCGCTGGCATGAAACAAAATTTCTGACAAGACAAAATGGCCTTTAAGGAACGTTGAAGGTTTTGCAATTGTATGCGTTGTGGTCCTTATTGTTCTAATTCATAGTTTCGAGTTCACTTGATGAATAAATATCAAGATTTTGGGAGTCTTGTTCAGGCTAGTTTGATAGAACTGAAATACTGAATGTGGATGGGATTTTTGTAGGTGTAATTTATATATAATTTTAGACAAAGCACTGAAATGCCACATACTTCACCAACACCAAACAACTCAATACAGAAGAATTATCAGTAACTTAAAGTGGTCACCTCACATTTCAAACATCATTTTGAAGGCATGCATGTTCGCATGCTCCGTTTCTTGCAGACAGGCTGTCAAAGGAGATAACACAAAACACTACAGTATGAGACAATAACATATAATGGTTTATACAATTATAGTATTTTTGGTCACAGCTGACACAATTCAATCCTGTATACAGCATGACAAGTTGCCTTCCTTCAATGTATTTTATACTGCACTACTTGCTGCAATCCTGTGTTCTTAGACTATAAGTATAATGTTATAATCTCCCAACTTAGTTACTTTATTGTTGACTCTCTATCCATAATTCCTAACTGGCTGACTGACCAAAGGACTGACTGACTAGTTTTACTGTATAATGCATAAGTACATATTGTAATTTTTGTAGTTTGTATTCTTCAGGGTTCGTAGTCTCCAAGACCAAAAATATTTAAAGACTTTCAAAGATTTTTTCTGCCTATTTTCAAAGACTTTTCAAAGACTTTTCAAAGATCTTTGAGAGCAATCAGCTGTCTAAAAATTGCGAGTGTAAGCACCATTTTTACCCGGTAATTAGTCCAGTCAAATCACATCCGAAAATGCGCCTTTTCGTCGATATTTGCGAAAATCTTGCTTCAATCAATCTATTTTATTAGCTAGGAAATCGTATAATAAAATACTCACTAAAGAATTTAAAGACTTTTAAAGACTTTCTTCGCTTTTTTACACAATTCAAAGACTTTTCAAAGACCTTAAAGACCTGCATTCAAATTTAAAGACTTTCAAGGATTTCAAAGACCGCTACGAACCCTGCTCTTGTAAATTTAACAGTTGGTGTGATCTCTTTTGAGTTTACAGACTTCTGTAATTCAGAGGTTTTTCTGAAAACTGATTCTGATAATTTGAATAATTCCCCCCTCATCTTGTGAAAATATGCAAGTGAAATAACTACAATGCAACTACTGTACAACTTTCCTCTTTTGAGTTCTTTAGTTTTGGATCATGTCTCTGACATATTGTCACACCAAGTTTTCATGATTATATTGCACTCTGTGACCAATAGTCTCACCAAATAATCAACCCAGTGTGGAACGTTTCATGTAACTGGGGACAGTTCGCAGGGTTTAAAATAGCTGACGGATGTCACCTGCATTTATACAGCACTATCCGGCAACTTCTAAATTAGCAACAAGTTTTTCTTATAGGTTTTTCTTGTAGAACTTACTGGTTTTAAATTAAAAAGATGCCATCTTGATGTAAAAATATTGCATTAAGCATTCTGGTAGCCATGAATCTGGTAGCCATGAATTTCTGGTAGCCATGAACAAGGCAGGAATCGTAACTGTACAATGAAAATCAATGCCCAGTATAATGCATGAAAGAGCCATGGACAGAACGTTCATTCTTAGTAAATAAATTACTTTTTGAAAATATTTTTTGATATTTAGAAAGACTGTTATTGCATGCATTGCATTTTGCTGCCCAATTTGATGCAGCTTTTGTACATGCAGGGCCGTAGCTAGACCGCCAATTGGGGGGTGCATATTCATATATTTGTGTTCTGCCCGATGGATTTCTTTTGAAAGCGATTGTTTTTACGGTATGTGAACATGAATATATTAATAATCCCCCCCCCCCAATTATCGCATCTAGCTACAACCCTGTGTACATGGTGGTATTTTCTGCGTAATCGTTTAAAAAATGTTCAACTTATCAGAGCCTGGAATAAAATAATGCATCTGATATGCATTATTTTACCGCATGATACAAACTTTCCACACTGGGCTTCAGGAAGGTTGGGTATGGGAACCAATCAATTGTGATTTTTTGTTTCTTTAATTAACACTGAAACACCATAGGTAACCATGTAGCCACAAAATCAGGTAGCCATGTAGCCACATAGTCAGGTAGCAACATAGTCAGGTAGCAACATAGTCAGGTAGCCATGAAGTCATATAGCCACATAGACATATAGCCATGTAGCCACGGGTTAGAAAGTGTGTTTTTAAGTGGCCGGGTATTCGGAAGCAGTGCTGTAAAAGTTACTAATTTTTTGGAACTAGTTACAGTTACAGTTACATTCCCAAAAAAGGAACTAGTTACTGGTAAACGTTACACTTAAAAAAATGTAACTAGTTCCCGTTACAAAATTACTTCAATATTTTTGTAACTAGTTACAAGTTATTTCAAGTAAGAAAAACCCCGTTTTTTTTCAACTTAATGATTAGTGGTCAGCAGATTGACGTTAATTATTTGTAAACGTTATGTAACCTTACCACTAATGGATCTCTCAGCTGTGTTAAGCACTGAAGCATGCGTTGTCATAGAAAACCATGAGAATTTCGAGAACTGAGAGATGAATTGTAAATTTTAACCGCAAGAATGTAACGAAAAAAGTAATGTAAACGTTGGCTATAAAAGTAACGCGTTATCGTTTCATTTTAGGCCAAAATGTAACTTGTTACAGTTACAGTTACCTTATTTTTAAAGGTAACTAGTTACCGTTACAGTTACTAAAAAAGTAATGATTACTTGTAATTTTGTTACTTGTAACGAAGTTACTTGCGGCACTGTTCGGAAGTAATGCACCTATCAATGTTAAGCCCCAGAGGGGGGAGTCGGCAGGGGGGGGGGGTCGGGAATAGGTGGGGCATTTGATTTTTTGAGCAAATTTTCAATCAAATGTCCCACCGTCGGGCAATAAATATTGGTCAAATACCCCACCATTTTGCAATAAATTGCAATAAATACTATATTAATAAAAGTCATTCGGTTCAAATTGCCAAAACTCGGGGCCAAAATGCTAATCAAAATCCCCAGGGTGGGGATGCAATTGATGATGAAATACCCCACATATGCCCGACCCCCCCTCTGGGGGTTAACATTGATAGGTGCAGAATTCCCAATGCTTATCCATATTATATGTGTAAGTCATTGTACCAATGCCTGCCATGGTGCACTATGGAAAAATGGTGCTTATATAAGTTATGTATTAAGCACAGCTGAACAGAATTTGCAAGCCAACATTAACACTACGACAAAATGGACAAATCTGCCACGTCAATGACTCAAATAGTCAAATTAACTTGTGTGTGCTAATTATTAATAAAGGTCAAAGGAAGCTTACCTCAGAAGGTATAGAACGGTTTGAAGAATATGCAGTTAACAACAGAACACTGTCTTTTTCCTCATCAGTTAGAGGAGACAAACTGCCTTCTTTAGCATCCCAAAGACTGAGTCTTTCTCTGACATCTTTTGGAAAAGATGCCATGCATGTTTTCCCAGTGTGTTTTCCAAGGGATACGTTGTACTTCATGTTAGCTCTTCATGTTATAACCATTGTTTAAAACATCGTGGGCGCGCTTAAATACTTACTGACATTTTTCGAGGATTTTTATATAATGATAAAATAAATAAGAAAGTGCTTTTTTATATAATTTAGCGTCATAAAGAGAAAACGTCCTGAACTATAACATTTTCAATTCCTGCATATTGGTTTCATTTTTGCAATTTTGCAAAAATCTTTTCAAAAACATGAATACTGTTTCAGTCGTGAAATGCCAATCCTTCATGTAAGCGAAATATGTTGGAAGCGGGAATATAAAGCATGGCGGATGCAAATATTTTATTGGATACATCGTTGCGATCAAATACTTTAGCGATTCATTCACTTTTAGAAAATGTCAAACATTCTCAGATTCTGCAGGACAAAGTAAGAAGTTCAGTTTTTGAATTCTCCGATCCGAGTTGACGTCATCAATTTTTCTTAGTTCACAATCTACAAACCTTTGCCTTAAAAATTCCAAATGCGGGCATCCCCCGACCGTCTCCCCTAGTATAGTTGACAGATCTGTATACTATAGTCGACAGATCTGACAGCTTTTACTGTGAAAGTGGAGACTTTTGCATAATCTGCATATGCAGTGTTAACCCATTAAGCGCCAGCGCTCTCCCCTTGACGAGTAAAATCGTCTGGCTTTAGACAGAGTAAAATACTAAAGTAGGGTGCAATGCGACTCAATGGGTTAACCAAAGTTTAGTAAATGTGTGTATTATATATAGGCTAATACAGATCAAGCTAATGACTCAGCAAAACTATACCATGCACCCCATCCCCTACCCCCCATTGAAGGAGGCCTACCACCTCTCCAACCTCGTACCCAGGACTAGCCGCGAGTTGAAGGCCCTTCAACTTGCAGCTAGCCCTGGGCACGAGGTTGCCACCTCCCCTACTAATATGAATTTTATTATTTTTATTTAATTTGTTTTTAGTCCGCAGCATGTGAGTGGATTACAGCTTCAAACAAATTACTTCATTCACATAAAGATAGGCAAGTAAAACCAATAGTTTTGTGTTTAATACATTATTATCCTGGTCCCACATGTTCTTAAAGAACAGCAAGGCATTTTATTGAAAATGTGCGGACAGGGGCGGGGGCAGACATTCCAACTACTGGAGGTAAAATTTAGGGAGACTGTTCAGTGAATTAAAATCTAGTTCTTCTGGGAAAAATAATAAAAATTAAGTCTTCTGAAATGGCATTTCCTACATTTTGGGAGTATAAGTGATCCTATAAATTGCCATAAAATAACTTCATAAAAAGGTCAAGACAAACTATTATGGTGCTAAAAACAGTATATTTATGATTTTTAACGACATTTCTTGAATATTCTGAAAAATCGGGAGAATTTCATAAAAATCGGGAGACCAGGAGATTGCATGAATTTTCGGGAGACTCCCGGTAAAGTCGGGAGAGTTGGAATGTCTGCGTGGGTAATTTGCAGAATGCAGAATGCGACTACTGTACTTTCGCTCAGCGGTGAAAACTGAAAAACTGAAAACTTTATTTACAAATTACAAAATTACAATTTACACACTGTTGTTGGGTACACACAATTGACTAGAAATTGATAAATATAACAAGGTAATAATTTAAATTTGAATAATGAATAATGATTTTTTTACAACAATGTATAAAGAAAAATTTAGAAATAAAGCAAAAAAAAGGAAATAATCGCAATTAAATTAAAGAAAATAATTTTAGGATTATAGTAAACCACAGGTAGCAAAAGCTATTCTGGGTGGTTAGCAGGGCGCCGAGAGCTTGGCGGGGGCCCGGGGCAAAATTTTTTTTAGAGGCCCCTATTTCAAAAAAATTTGCCCCCCCCCCCCCCCGGACGATAATTGCTTTACAGCAACTTTACCTCAATTTTTCATACCAAATTTTGTTACTTTGCCCAAAAAACAAATATCTTGCCCTTTGCGCGGAAATATTTCTTCCAAAAAAATGACTGGGGCCCAACAAAAAATTTCTAGGGGCCCCCAGGTTCTGGGGGCCCGGGGCAATTCCCCCCCCCCTGCCCCCCCTCTTGGCGGCCCTGGTGGTTAGTGAAGTCACAGTGGTGAAGTTTATTGAATAACTTAAATATAATAATTATATCTTGAAAATTGTCATTGAAGAAATGTTAGTATCAAATAAAAATCCCGATCAAATGAAAAGCCATATACCAAAACCATTTGTTAATGATAAAAGATTCTCAGTTGAAAAACTGAGAAAATTATTTAAATTGCTGTTTGTTTAATTTTTTAATAATTGAGGGTGTATCAAGATATGAATCCTCTTCATAGAGTGACAATTAATTTTAAATTTCCATCATGGTTATTTCCATTATGGTAAATTGGTAAGAAGCCATGATGTTAAATAATTTACCATTGATGATATTTTCCTGTTATTAAACATCATGGTTTTTACCAGTTTACCATGTATGGGAACTATAATAACCAATAATGGTAAGAGTTCAGTTTTTACACTCAAAAATCCAAATTAATGGAAATTTAAATTTTTCCTGTGCATACTTATGGCAAGTTTTCTAACACTATTCATTTTGCCACAGGAATAATAGTTTTGGCCCAACTACTCACCCAAAACATTTTGCATGCCATGCAATTACTTTAAAATGTATGTGATCCCTTCATAATTGCATGATCAAGTGACCTGATTTTGGTGATACTGCTAGTGCTTTTATACAAACATCAACACAATGATAGAATTTTGCAAGTACTGTTGGTAGTATGTCAGTCAGTGGTGTTTGTGTTTCAAGTCATACAGCTATCCTGTGCGTCAAGAATGCAATTGTTCCAGCATGCCCAAACTGACACACCAACAAGTCACACTGACATGCATATTTATAATTTCTTTCGACGTTCCATAAAACAATTTCTCAAGGGAAATTTGCAAACCCAGATCGATAGTTATGCATGCAGCATATTTTGCCTGTTGTGAGTTATTCTATATGTTCATGAGTTGGAAAGCCCAATTATGAATAGTCACATCAAAGGATGTAAATGTTAATTAATAAGTCACTTTATTTATTACATTGACAAATAAAGTCATACTAATGGACCATTTGCATTAAAGACTAAATTTTGATCCGTAAACAAGTCTAGACAAAAATTCCATCACAGCTTGAAAGAGCATCACCAAATTAGTAATATTCCGAAGTTTCGTTGCCGTTTTTCAGTCATTTTGTATTACAAACGGGAAATTGACAGCCCCAAAGGGCATTGGGCTGCCAATTTCCCCCGCGTAATGCAAAATGACTGAAAAACGGCAAACTTCGCAAGGCTGTAATATTATCCGCATTTTACAACATTTCGCAACGAAACTTGCATGGAATATTACTAATTTTGTGATGCTCTTTCAATGAAATTTTTGTCTAGATCAAAATTTAGTCTATAATGCAAATGGTCCAGTGGAGGCAACAGATAGTAATAAAGATATATGGGGACAAAATTCTGTGCATGTACAGTATGGATCATCAATGGTAAACAGGAAGACGTCAATGAGTGACAAATGGCAACTTAACACTTAGCAAGTCTTGTAAAAGCTGGATAATTATGTCTTTTGTGCTTGCAAGCTCTGTCTGTAAAGGACGTTGTGCTTTTAACATATTGCACATATATGACAATTAAATGACAGAATTTATCAGCAAAAGAAATCTCTCCGCTAATTCACAAGTGAATAAAATAATTCAAATATTGTGACCAAAAGACCAGATAGTTTGGCATTTTGGCTATGTTATTCTATTAGGCCGTTTTGATCGAGCATCTTGTTTTAAGTCTGCAAAAGAGAGATCTAATCGACCCTTCAATTCATCCATTTATAATGCCATTCTTTTTGTTCCACGGCATTTCCTTCCTTCCATCCTGCCTTTTTAATACAATATAGAGAACATTCAACATCATGCAACCATCGTGTCTTTGGTATCTAGCAGTGCTGGAAAATATCCGGCAGCGCCAGCAGCACTACTGCCAGGAAATTTTTAACAAAGTATCTTCGCAGGAAATGTTCTTACACATTGCAGGATTTTTTTGTTATCTGATAAACTGGACTAATGCCATATAGTTTACATTTTGTTTTAAATTCCAAAAGCATTTTGCAAGTCGAGATTGTCTTGTGCGGAGATTGAAGTTGATCACAATTAACGTGCGGCGCGTATAATACGTTCTCTGAATATAATATATAATAACATTTAATATCCATCTTTGGTTAGAAAAGTACGATGGATTTACAAGAAGTGCTAAGGTTAAAATTGATAAGAAGACATTTTACTATTATTTACATCAATGTTGCTAAAAATGTTTATACTAGTTATATATTCTATAAAATTAATTTAGGACTGTTTTAAAAGGGATATATGAGCTCTAGGTATAAAGGATTGCCGGTGTCTTTTAGTATACGATACAACATATGGTAGATTATTTGTTGTTCTTAGATCGTGTTCATGGGTAAAAGGTTGGGGGATAAGTTTATTACATGGGTTGGTCGGATCACTTAGAATTCTTTGGTATTCCTTAACAGTTAGGTGTGCCCTTCTTTGTTCTAGTGTTTCAAAGTTGCACCGAGATGTGCCGAGGATTTTGATGCATCTGTTTTGAATGCTCTTTATTTCATCAATGAGATATTTATCAGTTATAGACCTGAAACGACGGGTAATTTTTTGTGGAATACCCCGAGTGAAAGGTCTATAAATGGTATATTATACCGAACCTTTCAAAAATAAGTAGAAAACAAATACCATTCAATTAACTTTTAATTTCAAAACACAACTTTTGATAACTTTACATTTAAAAAAGTCGAATTTCCCGCTCAAGCGTGGTATTCGAAGTCGAATACCATGGCCCCGGGTAAAACACCAAGGGTTCAATTTGCCTAGGTCATAGTATTCGCTGAAAAATACCATGGTCATGTGGTACAAATTTAGTTCTCTGATTGGACAAGCTCATTGTGAGGTATAATATTGCAGAATATCATATATAGAAATACTAAGTCATTTTTTGTCGACCCAGTTATCGTTTTAATGGCACCTTCAAGGCTACCCCTATCGCACGCAGAACAACTTAACAACTTGCTATTTGCTGAAATATAGTGACAATGTAGCCCGGTGGCGATAGGATTATTTCATATTATGCCAACAATGGACATATCTCAGAGATATATAAACAGACCTTGTACAAAATTTTAAAATTAAAGTCGGAATACAATCCACTCTGAGTTGCTATAGGAAATTAGGAATCTTATCAAGCCCGATTATTATTAAAAGACGTGCTTTTTAAAGCGTGCTGAAAGCAAAACGTGCTGAAAGCACATTGCTATATAAATATTCAGAATGAACACTATAAACTCGACATCGCCTTGTCACATCGCCACACAAACAAGTATACGTACTTTGACTTCTTGTATATTGTATAAAATAAGACGATCAGTGATCGAGCTATAAACTTTTTAATTATATAAACCATACCTAATTTTAAGAATTTTTTATCACTGCACATTTTATGCCAAAAATTTCCGAATGACTAAGAAAATTTCCGAATATTCGGCGACCCCCCCCCCCGTCGCCAAAAAAATTTTGGTCAGTGTACCATTTTAAGGGTCAAAAACTTTTTCCGGACATACCAAAAGCAAGATATTAACTAAAACTTGCCTGAATCTCATGATTTTCGTACAAAAAACATATACTATTATTTAATTCGATAATTTGGCAGTCATCATTTCAATTTCAATTAAATCATTCTCTTGTGTTAATTAACAACTTATCAAAGCAAATTTTATCACTGCACATTTTACATTTTATCACTGCACATTTTACTTTTATCACTGCACAAATTGGTTATCACTGCACACTAAAATTAGGTATGATATAAACTGCTGATAAATTCATATAATCATATTATTTCAATACTTCTTCAATTGGAGATCCATGATACATGCCGAAACCTATATACTCGTCTGGGGCACAGAAACCATATCACGTCAAGAATAGTGTAATGCTTCGCTGATGCTCGGCAGCAAAAAGGTGTCACTAATGATCCTGGCAAGTTTCCATAATGGAATCGAACATAAACATAGCAGTGACTAAGTGAACAAGACTGTATTAATAATCTTCAGTTTTTTTAAATAAAGGATTAGTAATGATCAATTCAATCTGAAAATGTAACCTAACAAAGTGAATTTAATGGTGCTATGGTAGGTATTACCCCATTAACAATGTTTGATAATTTAATTAACATAAAGTGAATCAAACCTGAATACATTTGCATCATTATTAACCGGATTGTTGGTGAATCTGAGTAGCTTGTATATCCTGGAGAAAATTCCATTCATTAAAGATGCTGTAAAGTCATAGATATAATAAATAGACTATACACGCGTAAAAACGCTCAGATTGTTGCAATATTGGTGAAAACAGGATTGAACAATGTTTTGCTGCCCACATTGTTCACAGTTGTCAACAATATTGAACAATAGACCCGATTCAGGCTCAACAATACGTTCAATATTGTTGACAAGTGTGAACAACGTGGTCAGCACAACATTGTTCAATCCAGGCATTAAAATACGGATTTTTTTACAAGGACACACTTTGCCTTAAGAGGCGTATTTTTGGTATAAATGCGCAGCTTTACGAGAACGAGTGGCGAAGCCACAAGTTTAGCGTCGAAGACGCGAGCTTTTAATTTCCACTAGCTATAAGCGGAATTTTTCTTTGTCTTTTGATTCTCGGGTGGAACTAATTAGAAAAGACCAGGAAAAGACAAAGAAAAATTCCGCTCCGCGCGTAAAACTCCGCTAGTGGAAAACCGGCTTTAAGGGGGTCTCTGAAATGGCATTTCCAGTGTTCTGAGAACAGAATTTGGAAAATATTTGGCAATTTTGCGTGGATTACATTAATATATTTTCTGTTTAATATATTTTCAAGTACACACTTTTCAATTTACAAGGGCACATTCGCCTTTTACAAGGACACAAAGTGTGTACAAGGACACGCCATTTTAATGCCTGGTTCAATCCTGTTTTAAACAGCGGGCTCAACGTTTTTAGCCGTGTAGATAGTGCATCTCTGATTCGATTCACTGTGCCACGACCACGATTTTAGTGGAAAAATTATTTAAGATAAGGAAATTAGGAAGACAACATTTCCACTTATCGTATGGTGACTAATAGAATTTAAGAAAATATTGTCAATAAAGTAGCTAGTGGTGAGTTATACGTGTAGGTTGAAATATATGAGGGTTGTACGTAGAAATAAGTGCCTAAAGTACTAAAAATTCTTCAGTAGGAGAATGGGAGTCCAGATTCTAAGATTTAAGTTGAATTAGGGGCTGTTTATATGGGGCGAAGATTTAAGTTGAATTAGGGGCTGTTTATATGGGGCGAGCCAGCTCGGAAACCCGAGCTGGCCCGGTTTAGGCGAGATCCCGCCTTTGCTATTATTTCCAATTAAATTTTATTTTGCGTTTATATGGGAACCGAGCTGGCCCGCCTAAGCGAGATCCCGCTTTAACTGACCCGAGATCTCGCCTAGGCGGGCTGGAACTATTTGCTGCCGAAGGCAGCACCCTATTCTTGACACGCGGTGGTTTCTCCAGAGTCCACTCGACCCAGTCTTTCGCGCGATCTATGTATTGTCGAGATCTCGATTTGTGTCTGTCTGTAAAGATGATTTCCGGGAGGAATAATTAAGCTTCAGGAAGTTTTTGTAAACGAGGGGGGCGGTCTTTGTTTACATTTCGGTATCCAAAATTTTATTCGAGAACTATTTATTTTTCATGATTCTAGAGTATAATAAATTATCAAGACACAACAATCAAGCTTTGCAAGAACATACAACGAAATAAAACCTAAATAAACTGTTTGTATAAAAAAGAGGGCTCCTTTGTGCACATGCTCAGATCGGACTGTACAGCATCTTTAACATAATATGAAATAATCCTACCGACCTATAGTACTCATACATTCACCTGGCTGTGTCATGCAATACATTTCAGGGTATGCTATTTATTCTTGGGTTTCACTAAGGCATTATGCAGTGAATCTGACTGGGGGTCAACCTCAAATGTATTGATGCTTATGCTGTACTGGAGTGAGAAAATGATACGAAATTCCATGTATTTGCCACCAAACACAAAGCTAATACATAAAACAAACAATCGACTCACTCTGATAATTGTGTTTTGTTTTTGAGTTGACCCCCTGCCACTTCTGTGACGTCATATGAAACCCAAGAATATTCTGCGATAATGCTCACAATTTCTTTCTTATTATATAGTTTTGCGGTTCTGACTGAGTACAATCTCTGACTGAGTACAATGAATGGTGTCATCTGAAGCTGACATATTAATTAAAAATAGATTTTGTCTCCCCATCAGATTGTTCGGTTGATTTGCAATAGGGGTAGCCTTAAAGATGCCAATGTAAATAATAATTGGGAAAAACAGACTTAGTATTTCTACAGTGTGTCTCAAAAAAAAGTGAACCCTTTCAAATTCAAATTAGCTATAATGTATTGTAGTAATTTGACAGCAGTCTAATTGCATTGAATTAATAGTTGGGTAAGAACACAAGGTATACTCTATTTCTTTTAAATTTTCTAATTTTTATTTCTTTGAGTTTTGTCCCATGAGTACAAGACCTTGTGTTCTTACCCAATCATTAATTCAAAGCAATTAGAGCTGTCAAATTTGAAAGGTTCACTTATTTTGAGACACATTGTGTATATGATATTATACAGTATTCAGTGGCTAGCTAGCCATGGCAACTGGTATATTATAAACCTGCATATTTGAATAATGCAAATAATTACAAATTTGCATAGTTTATGACCTTTTGGTATGGCTAGCTTTGCCACAGACAGTATTGTATTATATATACAAAAACAAGAAATTATAAGCATTGAAGGTATTCATATAAAACTGCCCAATGCCAAGAAAGTAGAAATAGAATATTTAGCTGACCTTTGACTTTGTGCAAGGTGTTTGATATTCTAGTTGCACTTTTCCTACCTCATGAACAGGTGTCTTAGGGGCTGTTTACTGTAAATATTGGAAGGCGGGGTGATTTTAATGTATTGAAATAAGTCAGCAGAATTCAAATGTTGTAGTTCAAAAAGATTATTATTGCTCCTTGGACAACCTTTAGTTTACAGTTAACTATGTAGTTTTTTGTTGAATCGTGCACAGTAATTTATTTTACAAGTAATACGGCAAAGCTGGATCATATAAACTGACCCTTATTCAGCAAATTCTGCATGCTGCCTTTGATCCCTTGGGGGTGAGGCAGCACTTTCCTTGCGATAGTAACTTCTAGTATAAGTAATATCATGAAATGAGGAGTATTAGTCATTAAACCACCCGATCGACGAGGGTCATGACCCGAGTCGAGCGGGTGGTTTAATGACTAATGCCCCTCATTTCATGATATTACTTTGTAATATTATTTTTGCGTGAATTTCACCCAAATCAGTGTTCAGACACTGTCAATGATGTCGGCGGAGCGTTATAAGACGTTCTGCACTGAAGAGAATGTTGTGGCTTGTCGGATAATTTTGCTCAAACTTTCCAGGTGATGTGGTAATACTAATACGACCCGTAGTGACGTCAACTCAGGTCGTATTAGTTCTAATACGACCTGTACATTTGAGTAGGCGAGTGAATTAGTTACTAATACAGCACAATAGAACAATAGAAATTCACGCAAACATGATATTATTCCATATAAACGCAATTACCCGGGCTGGCTCGCTTAAGCGAGCTAAGTGTTATTGGTCTGTTGACGCGAATGTATCGTTGTAAATACAATATTCTGTGAACGATTCTGTGGGTTATAACCTTGAAAAGTTGCTCGCGAAAGTGCGAAATTCAAGCTCGTGAGAAAATATATTTACATTCTGCTACTTATAGCGGTGAGCCCAGTGAGTTGTTTTGGCGAGCTAGCTCGCCTCATAAGTCTCATGTAAACACGGGGTGAATTTCGTCTCGGGAAAGCGACATGTCAAACGTATTGAAAGAGGTCATAAAAATCGAAATATCACTATGTGGGTGTCTATATAGATCACACCACAAATAATATTGTGATTAAGATTGCTTTGGAGTCAGTTCTAATGAGTTTCAAACCTTGCCACTATTTCAGAGAGATCATGTCTGACATTATAACAAAGACTGTCATCGAGAAGCGTATAGTAGCTTTGATTTTTAATCGTAATCAAAACAATTTTAACATGCGCTGTAGCCTGTAATTGGAAAAAATGTGTTTTAACAACCAAATTAAGAAACCATAACTACAGACAAAGTAGAATTTTCAGTTTAAGTAGAATATTATTTTTTAGTCAAATTGATGAGCAAGGCCGGGCACGGGCAACCCATGGAGTGGCCCCTTTGCCTTTCTTTGCGTAAATCGGTAAATGGAACACTTTCTTTGCGTAAATGTAAGACGTTTTCCTTTTTTTGCGGCTCATAATCTAGTAATCACAAATTAAACACCATATATGTCCATACCAAGTAAAGTCCTGTGACCTGCGTTATGGGTGGGATAATGTGTTCCCATAACAAGTGTTGAAATCAGCAGAAATCAGCCCTCCGCCCTACACGTAATCACATCACGTTCGAGAAAATTGTTCCGCTTCCTGATTGTTAATTGGGATTTGCAAAGCGAGTAGTTCTCGCATAACTAAAGTAACCATACGTAAAAAACGTAGTGTCTTTGTAATAAAAAGGTTCGGCTATTAGTAAAACACGGAGCACGGAGCACACGGAGCACGGAGCACGGAGTACGGAGCACACGGAGCACGGAGCACACGGAGCACGGAGCACACGAACTACGGAGCAGTAGAAAAACGAAAATCCTTTATAATAACATACACTGTTTACTACAAATTTTTATTACAAATTTTTGTTCTTATTAATAAAGTTTTTTCGCGTTTTACACGTTGAGGAAGTAGAAAAATGGGGCTTTTACTGCACATATGATGCAAAACTGCCAAAAGCCATAGTATCTAAAATAGGATTGTGCCTGTGAAACTCGTCACATATCTATCAAGCTTATGAGTTATGTAGTTATATCAGTATATTCCGATGGCCAACGCATTAAGAAACACTTAGAGAACAGCCGATATATTTCGTTACCCCTGCCAAAAAATAGCCAAGTACTCATCTTTCAATGTAGCGGGTCGACTGAACATTATAAAAGCTTGTCATGGAGAGAAGTGAATTTTCGGTTTATCCTTCGTCCCAGTGACCAGTGAGCAGTGTGCTGTACGGCCTACGCCGGTTTAAACCGTTATACATAATTACTGCTTTCATTCTTTCAATCCGTTTTGAATATTCGGAATCATTCACTATTATATTATAAAACTGTATAAGATAGCTGTAGAACTATAAATGCTGTAGAATAAAATAAATAAAGAAAACTACGTTTTATCGCGGTATTTGCCGATAAATCGGTAACCGCTACAGAAAAACAGAACAAATTACAGTAAATCACAACAAACCGCGGAAGTGGGACAATTTTTGTATTTTTACTGTAAGACATGCAGAACATGTACGAAATCCATACAGAAGTGTGTGTGTATTCTATACTTTTGAAACAACTAAATCAGACTTCGGAAAATTTGACAGTATTAAAGCTACTTTTGAGAATTTAGATTTTAGGTCTTTAATTGTTTTACATGTACCCGGCCAGTAAATATTTTTGAGTTTTGAACTCTGATTCTCACAAGCTTACAATTTGTTTACAATTTACTCTGGCTCTGCCGTGCTGCACGGCAGAGTTGATCGGAATTGTAACAAATACGCGTACACTTAAATGGCTTCCTGAATTTAGTCAATCAGATGTGTAAAAATTACTCATTTCAATTTTATGTTTATGCTCGAAACTGCTCATGTTTACAATAGCAATTCTAACAATCTTGCCCTCCTTTTCGCCTTTGAGGCGTTGGTGTTGATTTATACACAAAATTCAAAACTCAAAAATATTTACTGGTAAAATCTAAATTCCCAAAAGCAGCTTTAATACGGTCAAATTTTCCGAAGTCTGATTTAGTTGTTTCAAAAGTATAGAATACACACTCACTTCTGTATGGATTTCGTACATGTTCTACATGTCTTACAGTAAAAATACAAAAATTGTCCCACTTCCGCGGTTTGTTGTGATTTTAATACTGTAATTTGTTCTGTTTT